ATTAACTCGAAAACTAATTATCTGAATAGAAAACTGTTTCCATCAGATGATAGAGAAAAAAAAAGACACGAAAAACTGTGGCATATACATTTTTTCTAGCATCCACTGTTTTCTGAGCGCACGTGTGCAAAGATCGGTAATTCTCGCGAGAATTGAAGCTACTCGAATTTTCTGGCAATTGGGAGAGAAAGTAAGCTTGTTTCTCATTAAACTTACTGATTCTAATATATTTTCAGTCTGTAAAGTGCCCAAATTACGGAAAAAATCGACAGTGTGCTTGTTTTTTCTCAAAAAAAAGGGAAAATGTTGGATTTAAGAAAAAACCACTCGTTTTACGAGCAATTTTCTAAGTACAAAAAATGCGTAGTTTTCGGTTATATTTCGAATGTCATAGGTCGCATTGCAAATCTGCAATAGTTCACCCTCTGCAAGTGTCTGATGACATAATAAACACAGGCCAGCCATTGCAACCTGGAAACAAAAAAATTATAGCACTGTGATAGAATTTTCTTAATTAAGGAACGTACTTAATCAATAAATTGCTGAAGAAGTTCGAAAGGCCACGTGTACATAGAGCTTGCTGAACACAGTTATTAAAAATCTATGCCGATGAACACTATCAAGCGATTCAATTTGTAAAAATATGACCGTTTGAAGTTTAAACTTGTCAGATAGCGAACGCCGAGACCATTACTATCCTTGATGCGACGTGCAGCTAATTTGGCGGTAATTCTATAGTTTGAATAAAACTCAAGAAACGTCTTATAACAAGTCAGTAAAATACAATTTAATAAATTTTAAGCCTAATAAATTTAGATATGTAAGAAATTTAAAACTGGAAATAGCAAAAAAATCAAATTACAGTAATGTTAGTGTATACACGAGTTTTGGATCCCGCGCAGCGCGTGTAATGGGACTTTTGTCGGGAGAATTCTACAACTTAGAAGAAACATACACACTATAAACTTTGTATACACATTTAGAAGACATGACATTTGGGTTTGCTTAATTTTCAGACCAAAAAACTAAAAATTGTAAATTTTAGGCAACTTTTCTCAAAAACCGTGTTTTTTGGTCGTCACTCAATAAACAGTGGTCAAAAAAATAGATAAAATATATTTGCAGAATTTTCCGTAATGTAATCGTATTCTAGACACAATAGAGTACTCAAAAAAAAAAGTTTTGAGCCATTGGGTGCATTTTTGGCATTTTTGTGCCACTTCAAACTTTAGAAAAAAAAATTATTTTTTTTTAAGGAAAAAAATTTATTTGTTTGATATCTTAGCCAATTATGGTCCGATGTAGGTGAAATTCACACACACATAAGATTTCACATTTAAGAGTAAGCTTTGTTAGTGGCATTAAAAAAATTCAAATAGTTTGGCCGTTATAGGCAAACAATGAAATGAGGACCGCTGTACACTTTGCCCTTCCTCCATATGCCCAATTTTGGGATTTCTCTTGCCCCCTTCTGGAAATCACTAGTCACATCCCTTAAGTTCAAAACGCATTTTTGTTTCTTCAAATATCTTAATTTTTACCAATGTTATGAAGAATTTAGTGTTTGAACATTTAACAAATTCAATTTTTCGACAAATTTCAATCGTCCATACCGCGAGAACGGTGCATCGGATCAAAATTTCTCAAGAGACATAAAAATTAACAATTTTTCCTATGCTTTCAAATGTCGTAAAATGCGTTTTAAAAATATTGATTTATTTCCGACATGCGCCTGCGCAAAATTGAAAAATTGACAAAATCCAAAATTTCGGCACTTTCGAAAAACTGCTACATTTTGTTTTGCCTTTTTTCGAAAAGATCACCTCAAAATACATAGAATCCATTTTGTTTTATCTAATTACAATTTAATGTAAGCTCAAAACCCGTAATTTAATTCGATTAAAAAGAAAACATAATATACTTACCTATTTAGTGCTGATATCCCGTAATTTAATTCGATTAAAAAGAAAACATAATATACTTACCTATTTAGTGCTGATATCTATTGTCATGGGAATGCCTTAGCCGTCTCTGTAGAGCGCGACCTTGAAGTCTGCCACCCGACTAATGCTCGAAACCCCGGAATCTTCCAGGTATACCGATGACGATTCGAGAAACTAGCGGAATAATCCCTTTGCTGCCTATGAGTTATAGAGAGGCAGTTCGCGATTGATCCTGGATTTTCTCTATGGATGTTGGCACTTTCACCTGTGGCAGTCCGCAGTTGCCATCTTGTTGGTAGAAGTCTCTTACAGTTATTTATGGTTGTTGGTCGTATTACAGTCCTAGTTGCTCCAGTAACCACCAACAGTGTATACTTTTTACCATTTACTTCGTCGTCTACGTATACACTATCATCGCGACATTTCAAAAGGCTATCAGTATCAGAAGGTCTTTGGAACGGTTTCGGGTCGAAGCTGCCCCCTCTAGGCCGACCCGCTTAATTTTCCTGTGGCGTGTTGTCTTCAGTTTTTAGGACCCTAGGGCGTTTGCACAACTGCGTACATGTCCCAGTTCACCGCTATTCCAGCACCTGATGGTCTTTGTCTTTATCTTTTTAACCGACTTCAAAAAAGGATGAGGTTCTCAATTCGTCGTAATATTTTTTTATGTATGTTTAGCGATAATTCTTTATCACCTTGTCGGATTTTTATGATTCTTTCTTTGTTAGTAAGGGAAGGTACCTCAGGGGTGGTTTTATATAAATTTGGTTAAGATGTGGTGATGGCATCTGCACGATTTTGAAGTCAGTTTTTTTAAGTTTTTAATTTGTAATACTTGTATCAGTAAAGCTCTTCATTATATTAACTAGTTGGTCGAGTTTATCTTCTACGTTTTCTTCTTTTACAGTCCTCACTTTGTTGTATCCTCCAGAAGCCTGCATCATACTCTAAAGCAGTGGACAAAACATCGACCAATGTTTTGTGGCGGGCTAAGCGGAATGTTTTCTGCGTCTCATGGTCACGGAGTCCATCAACAAATGTTTGGAATCCCAAGCATTACTACATTCTCTTGTTCAGACCATTTGTTTGCTCTGGCAGCTGTTTCGAACTATTTAAGGTAGTTGGTCCATGACATCTTCCCGTCGAAAGTTGGGGCTTTAACATGAGCAGCTCCTTCCAATTTCAACTTCGACTCCACCTCTTGGCACTTTATTTCACCGTCCTTGGCTGGTTCTGTATGTTCCAGTTCTTCTATCTTCTTTTTCATTTCTTTTATTTTCTCCTCAACGGAAGACATTATTTTCTCGTAAACTGATATCATTTTATTTTCCACATCAGCAGAAATTTCGTTTTTTAAAGAAGACATTTCGGAAGATAACCTTTCTTCTAAGCAAGAAATATTAATCGAAAATTTATTTTCCACAGAAGACATTTTGTTTTCCAAGTTGGAAGAAATTTCATCTTTTAAAGAAGAGATATCAGAAGAAACTTTTGTTTCTAAAGAAGAGATTTCGTTTTTCACGGAAGCAACATCAGAAGACACATTTTCTTCTAAGGAAGAAATGTCAGAAGAAAATTTAGTTTCTAAGGATGAAATTTTTGAAGAAATTCTAGTTTCTACTCTGGAAATAATAGAAGAAATATCGGTTTTCATGGAAGACATACCAGAAGAAATATCAGTTTTTAAAGAACACATCGTTTTTCATATCGAAAATTGAAGAAATTATAGAAGACGCATCATCCGAAAATAGAAACGTTTCTGGATCCAAACCTTCATGTTTTAATGCTTTTTTAAGTCGTTCTGCCACTTCTGATTTCTTCTCTATCGTCTCCAGTTCACGTTCTTCTAATTCTCAACGCAATTCAGCCACTTTTAAGTCACACAGTTTTTTTAGCCATTTTAGTCCACTATTTATTTACAATCCACTTCTAACACCAATGTAACGTTTGTTTAATTTATTTATAGTTTATTTATTTAAAACACTTTATTTACAATTTATTTATAACGTACCAATTAATTAATATAATACTTAGACACAAACAATTCTAATTTATTTATTACAATTTATCTTTTCAGTCCAACACTTAAATTCAGTCTTCCCGTTCGTCGACCACTCGCGCTATTTATATAAAGCCCAACTCTGTGCGAGAATACTATCGGGTTTCCAAATCAATCGAGAACTGCTTCTCTATGACTCTTACGCCGCAAAGGGATCACTAGTTTCTCGAAGCGTCAGCGGCATACCTAGAAGATTCCGGGGTTTCGACCATGAATCGGGTGGCAGACTTAAATGTCGCGTTCTACAGAGACGGCTAGGCATTTCCATGACACTATTATCATATCAGTAAACATACCTCCCATTAATTTATTGGTCTATTAAAATATTTATTATCTAACGGTTCATGTATTTCTTAGCAACTAGTTGTTTACACTTGGTTTCTTCCAACTTCCAAATCACTTTTGTAACCACTAGTTGTTACATATTTTACTTAGAGAAATCTGATTTTCTTAAATTGTAATACAACTGACCATGGTCAAATCAACTTGCTTGATAGCAACTGTATGATACAATATAGGAATAGACGACATAGAGATCGAACCTGGATCCTCGAGTTTGGGGCTAACAGCTACAATGATCTAATTGGCAATTTGGAGATATCAGATTACGAATCCAGTACATATGCACTTCCACTGTTCAACCTCTCTCATATCTTCTTTACAGCGTGGCACATTTCTTACCGATTCTGCATAGTGACGAAGAAGAACTGAGAGCTGTATTGGGTGGAATAAGGTTGCCACTGAAAAGGACAGTCCTTTTTTCAAAACAAATTGTCCTTGTGATTTTTTAAAGCTTAAAATGTCCTTTTGTATGACACATGTTTTTTTACAGCACATGTCCTTTAAAAGGACCTGTTTTTTATAAAAACATTTTTTTTGGCTTTTTTTAATTTTTCTTCGGTTTGTTTTCACTTTGGGGGAATTTCGTAGGGTGGCTATTTTCAATTTCGAAATGTTATATATTATTAAATTTTTGAAATTTTAAAATTTTGTTACAGAAAAGTCACATTCCTCAATCTTATGACGTCTCTATGTACGCATGCCTACACAGCTGCAATCACAATACTGGTAATGTTATGGAACTTGGCGCCACTTCTAGACGGTTTCGTTTATTTCACAAGATTCGCCCTGGACAAAATGATTGATATACTGGAAACTGATGATCCCAAAGAGAAGGCATTAAAGGCAGCAATGTTTACAGGAGAAATCATAGTAATATGTTTTCTCATGTTTATGATAGTGGGGCTAATATTTTTACCAGTATTTGTACTTATTTCAAAAATATTTTCCAAAATTTGGACTATGATTTCTTGGTGATTATTCAAAATATATTATACCAACTGCTATTTGTTTAATTATACTGATCTGATCCATTTCTTCATTTCTCATTAAGGTAAATGCGTAATTTTATAGGAAAAATACCTAACATGTGCGCTTGAATTTTTTTCTTATCAGTTGGCCATGGCCGTCTCTGAGGTACGCACTAAAATAGTCAACGGAGGAGAAAAATGTTTTGGCTCACACGTTAAACTTTTGGGTATTTCTCGCGGCATAAACCAATATAAAAATGTATGATAGATTATTGCCGCGTTTGAATATCCACAGTTGTAGAAAAGTAAAATCTTTTTATATAATATAATTTATCTTCTTCTAATAAATTGTCATATATTTATGTTACATTATAGAGAAAATAAAAATATTTCCAAGCCACCTAGGTATCAGATTACAATAAAAGAATATTTATTACATTCGGATAAATAATGAACTAACAAAATAAAAATATAGACATATCTATACAAAAAAAAGTTAAAAGGTTTGATTTAAAAAGATGATATATCTCTGCGTCTACAGGTGAGAAATCAGTATAATATAGCCTCTTTTAATATGTACCTAGTCAATTAATCTGTCCTACCTCAGCGGTTGAGTGCCAACTGAGCGCGTCTCCAGGTGGTGGATAGGAGGACGGCCAAGTTTCCCTTGGTTAGTAGAGTACGAGAGCCTAAAAACCCTCAAAATCTTTTGCGAAGGCTACCGCCGCGAACCAACTCCCCCAATCTAAGGTGTAAGGTAACGTGCCGACGGATGAATTGTCGGCAGATGCTGCAGCAAACGTTCCACTGAGGGAACCTGGCGACACCCTCTTGTATCTAGCCTTGCCGGCGCATGCGGGGCTCTGCGTCGGTCGACCTTTCCTTTTCTAGCTACTCGTGGGAACCATGTGGATTCTAAATTAAAAAAACCCGAAGAGGCTGGACGTCGACGCTCACCTCCAGCAGAGGAGACTGGACGACTAAGTCCAACTCCGGCGCAGGAGGCTGGACAACGGCGATCACCTCAAAAAAAGTAGGATGGACGTCAACGCTCACTTCCTGCAAAGGAGCCTGGACAACAAAGTCCAGCTCATGCACAGGAGGCTGGACAGCGACGCCCAACTCCAAAAAAGGAGGATGGCCACAGTAGTTCACCTCCAACTAACAGGCTACGGAGAGGCAAAAGAATCTCTGGGTCTAAAGCAAAGAGGAGAAAGATGGATAAGCTGCAGGCAGGCAGTGCTACGGCAACCGCCACCCTCAGCAAACTCCCTCACTCCAAAATAAACAAAAGCGGCTTAATCAAGTCCTTAGGCAGCGACGCTAGTTCTGCCTCCACAACCCAGACAACACACCAAATCCCAGAGATATCCACAGAATATCTTTTGTGGATATCCAATATATCCACAGGATATCAGAAATACGTCGTGGATCTAATATGGATATCCAAATGTCCGTCTACATCCAGAATATAGAAGATATCCTATGGATATCCAGCAAAATATCTAATGGGTATCTTCCAGACAATACAAGAAAACCCAGAATATATTTTGTGGATATCCAATATGAATATCCAACCAAATGTCCGTCTATATCCCAGGATACAGAAGATATTCGGATATTCAGCAAAATATTTTATGGCTATCTTTAGTAGAGGTTCGTAAGTAATCAATGATTATTGAATAACATCGAAATAAAATAGCAGAGAAAAAATATTTTCAACATTCAAAATATTTTCAACACTCTGCCTTTGATTTTGCCCACTAAGGAGAAAATCATCCTTATTAGGACTTTTCATTTCAGCAATAAATGGAAATTCTCGACTCCATTCCCAGTCTCTAATGGAGTCTGATTTCGATCGAACTCAATTACGGCGGGTTGAGCATGAGTAGATGCGAAAGTGGTATCGCCATCTATACTTAGTAAGCAAAATCAAAAATTACATCTAGTGGATATCCACGATGGTTTGCGTTCGCGCCTAGACTTTGATATATTTAGTGGATGTCCATGGGATATTGAATACACCTTAAAAAATTAATTTTAAATATCTGAACGGTACTATTAGCTACAATGGCGTAATTTTTTAATAATTTGCTATATAATTACTATTATTTATGGACATTTGCATGTCTATAAATTACATCTCATGGATATAAAATAGGTATCCACCATGGACTAGACATTCAGTGGATATTGGGATGTTTAGTAGATATCCAAAGGATTTGGTGTGCTGTCTGGGAAGAAGCCAGGAACACGACGCAACTATATAGGGACAAGAAAAGGCTGCGATCCCACACCTCTTCCGAGGTAACGCCCCAGAACGTAAAAAACCCAGACAGGACCACAAAGTTATGTCTGGGATAAGCTACAAGGATGCAGCTACGAGCCACCTGAAAGTAGCTATAACAGACAAGCATAACCCTTAAGATAACTACCGAAAGAGAAATCCTTGTCAATAAGACATTGATGGGAGAGCTGGACAAGACAATTTTGCCGCCTCCTGCAGCAAAACCAAGCCACCCACATGCAGGTCTTAGACGCACTCTAATGAAATCATCAGAGTAACGTGCGACGATGACCTGACGTTGGAATGGCTAAAAACCATGGTACCAACCTTAAAAACATGGGAAGGAGCAACATTTGCTGTTGTGAGGATGGACGAGCTTCCCAAGCTCACCAAAGCCTTTCTGGATCCCAGGGGAAACGCAAGCTGACCTTGACGAGAAGGAGGTTGTGCTCAGGCGTATTGAGGGGCAAAACCCAAACTTACATGTGGCGAAATGGTGCACCTTCCACCATGAAATAAAAAAAGACCCCAAGGGCCATCTCTTCGTCTTCGGCATCGGAGACGAAGACATGAGAACTCTAAAGGCCAAATCAATGAGGATGAGCTACGCGTTCACCTCATTAACTATAAGGCCAAAGGTCGAAAAAGAGGTTGAAGCGGGGTCCAGTGAAGACTCCTTGGTAAAGGACCCTCTTCCCCACCAATTCAAGCCAACAGTGGAGGACGTCGAGCCAGAAAAAATGGCAATCGATGACCTTCAGCATGAAAACTTCAAGGAGCCACAAGATATCATCCCTTCACCACTTTCAGAGGAAGGGATGGTCGAATAAAAAAACCACTTTGCTGCCCAATTTTTAACGAAAGAACGGGAAGCAATAAAAGAGGTAACTATATTACAATGTAACTTACAGCACAAAAGAGTGGCTACGGCAACATTATGCCGCCGCCTTGATGAGCTGCAATATACAATAGCACTCATCCAGGAACCCTGGATAATAAAAACCAAAATTTTAGGTCTTAAAAATCTAAATGGTTCAATTTTTAGCTTCCCAGCAACCAACAACCTAGGACAGCCATTAACATTCCTAGGAAATGCAAAGCCCACTCAATGGCACACCTTTCCACCTCCGATTTAACTGCGGTTAGGATGGAATACACCATCAAAAGGGAAAAGAAAACGTTATTCCTGGCATCTGCATACCTCCTTTCCGATGCAACCACGCCACCACCCAGCAAAGAAATGGAGGATCTGATTGCATACTGCCTGGAACAGAAGTTTGAGCTGGTAATAGGTTGCGACTCAAACGCTCATCACTTCAGTTGGGGCAGTAAGGATAACAACGCTAGAGGTAAATCACAAAAATCTTTGTATTTTAAATAAAGGTACTACACCAACATTTGTAAACTCTCGGAGTCAAACACTAATAGATATCACTTTAGAATTATTCTAAACTGGCATCTGATAACATTTTCGATGTCAGACCACCGCTGGTTAACATTCAAAATAAACTTGATGTTGCCGACCTCTACGCTATCTGGGAACCCTAGGAAGACGGACAGGACAATCTATGCCCACCTTCTCCAAGAGGCTCTGAGAGAGATGGAGGCCGAAACACCAAACAATAACAATGCTTTGGAGAAGTACTCGAACACTATCCTAAGCACAATAAACAATGCCTATAAGAAATCCTGTCCCCTGAGGCTGGTCCAACACGATCAGACGACTACTGCATGGTGGTGTCACGAGTTGGATCACCTCAGGAAGATGGCTAGGAAATTCTTTAATAAGGCAAAAACCACAAAATTCAAAGAGGACTGGGATACTTATAAATCTCTCCTCAGAGAATACAAAAAAATCGTCAGACAAAAACAGGGAGATACATGGAGATCCTACTGCGAAGAAATCGAAGATTTCCCGCAGTCAGCGAGGCTTCAAAAAGCTCTCTCAAAAGATCCACACTGAACCCAGCTAGCACATAACGTTGCCAAGACTTTCGGCGATGTTGCATTAAGGGAACGTAATAACATTACTATACAACGTAAATGCAACGTTCATGAGAAGTTGTTGAGGGAAATCAAAACCTCGCAAAACTTCTATTTGTTATTTACCTAGTTAACCTACCTGTTATGTTAACATAACGTAATAAAGTAATTTGCTAAAAAGAACAAGAACTGTTTATGTCAATTGTCACTTGCCTATGTTTCTTGTCATATGTCATGTTTGTTTTTTTTAATTTGCAGAATTTCTTTTATAATTATTATTAAAAACATTTGAGTAGAAGTGGTAAGGATCCTCTATAAAATAGAAAACTATTTTCTGAACCATTTTCTTCGTTTTAGATTACAATGCCTGTTGTAAATTTTATCAAAATGTCCGGGAATATTTGGATCATATTTTTGTAGTTTTCGACAGAATGAGCTGGAGCTGGTTTATAGAATTATAAAAATGTCCGGAAATATCTGATAACTTTGTTAGAAGCTATATTGGTTTATGAAATTATAAAATGAGGACCTCTAAATACTTGAAATACCTTATGAAAGAGATATACAAAACTAAGTTGCCAGGTTACTGGCCTATTTAAGGATGTAAGTGGTGGCAGTAATTCCTTTTTCCCTAGCTGGCTCTTAAAATTTAATGATTCGGAGAGTGAAGGTATTAATAAAAGTATATCTAACTGTGATTTGATATAATATCTAGTTTGTATCTATTTATTTTACTAAACTTTGATATGATATAACTGGGCACTTACCATCTTTACTATGAAATTC